ACGTTCAAACATTACCGTCTGATCTAACTCAGACATCCATTCTGATAGTAAAGGAAGGGAGGAGGATATCCATTTCCTCACCACCAGTCGCCTTGCAGTAAATAATGCTCTATGTATAGCCAATTTGATATATGAACTCTTCGCAGAGGCATCCAAAACTGCTAGTATGCATACTCTAGGTGTATTATTTAACAATATACCAGAGACTGAGTGTATGATCTTAAGCACTGCACTCCAATATCTAACCAGTTTGGGACATCTCCACAACAGATGTGTCAGTGAACCTTGGTGAAACCACATTTTGAACTTGAAGGATCGTTCCTGACACCTATTTTGAACAGAAACTCTGGAGTGTGACTCTGTGGGTTTTGAATAACAAACACATTTTCTCTCTAGGTTCTTATAAATGGTTGAATGAGTTCCTTTGTTGGTGAGATTCATGTAGCTACCCTTTTGCCCCTTTGTTTAAAATAGCCTTGCATATATTTCACTGAACGACAACAGTCATCAGTAGAAAGTGCTGCAATGGCTCTTTAAACATAATTGCTGCTGTTAGAAATGAATAATTTTATTATCCCCTTGGGCTCCACCTTAGTTCCTGTCTAGCGACTGTGTCTCAAGTTACAGACAACTGCAGAAATAGTATAATGGCCTGCCATTGCTGGGAGGACACAAGACAAAGTACTCTGACTCTGTCTATTAAAGTAGAACTGCAGCCATTTTTTCATTTTTAGTAGTGCAATATATTATCTTCGACGGGACTCCCAGAAGCCGGCGGAGAGGTGAGTGTTTTCATTAGCCATCAAAATTATTTTAATCGATCAAAAAGTTTAACGCTTAATCGAGAAATTGATTGTTAATTTCCGCAGCCCTAATATAATTATATATAATTACCGTCAAATAATTACCGTCAGGTTTTCCCTTCCTGTCCCATAGCCAGGAAGTTGCCTCTAACGCCTTTTTGTTCCACTTTTTCTGTCCTAAAAAACGCTCGAAAAATATGCTCTCCCCCCCAAAAAAAAATCCTATTAATTTCTATGGCCCTGTTCACATCTGAGCGTTTTGTCGCAATAAGCAAAACGCCTGTTGGTGGAAAAAGTACAGAAGCTTTTTTTGGCATATTACAGCTCATTCTGTCCCCATAGACTCAATAGGAAACGCTGAGAGGATGGATCCTGTCTGCGTTTGAGCCGGGTCACCCCTCACTGTACAGACCTACTTGGGGTGAGCGTAGGGCGGCGTGTGGCTGAGTACATCCATAGAGAAGGACAGGGGCTGCGTACTAATCACACGCAGCACCTGTCCTTCCCGGGAGCTGCCCGATATGGCCAAGCTGTACGTGCCGGCCGTTTCTCATGTGAATGAGGCCTTTACATCAATGAGCTACAATCTGCTCACAAAAGTGTGCGACCGGATTTATTCGAATAAAATGCATGTGATCAAAACAGAGTGTAAAAACGAGCAAAAATGTTGTCGCCTAAGTGTGAACCCAGCCTAAAGTAAGGGAGATCCCCTTTTAGACATTTGTTACCAGAACTTTTGTCCCCATTGAAAGAATTCCTCTCTATTTTTGTTCTGGTGACAACAACAAATGTAGGAAATGTAGGAAAAACTAAAAAAAGATTTGGGCTTCAGTTGTACTTTAATATATTACCAAATTAAATAACCAACATGATGATTTTATTAATTGTTTTATATACGCTATATTGCCAAAAGTATTGGGACGCCGGCCTTTACATGCACATGAATATTAATGGCATCCCAGTCATAGTCCGTAGGGTTCAATATTGAGTTGGCGCACCCTTTGCCACTATATCAGCTTCAACTCTTCTGGGAAGGCGTCCACAAGGTTTAGGAGTGTGTCTATGGGAATGTTTGACCATTCTTCCAGATGCGCATTTGTGAGGTCAGGTACTGATGTGGGCCAAAAAGGCCTGGCTCGCAGTCTCCGCTCTAATTCATCCCAAAGGTGTTCTATCGGGTTGAGGTCAGGACTCTGTGCAGGCCAGTTAAGTTCCTCCATCCCAAATGCGCTCATCCATGTCTTTATGGACCTTGCTTTGTGCACTGGTGCGCAGTCATGTTGGAACAGGAAGGGGCCATCTCCAAACTGTTCCCACAAAGTTGGGAGCATGAAATTGTCCAAAATGTCTTAGTATGCCGATGCCTTAAGAATTCCCTTCACTGGAACTAAAGGGCCAAGCCCAACCCCTGAAAAACAACCCCACACCATAATCCCCCCTCCACCAAACTTTACACTTGGCACAATGCAGTCAGGCAAGTGCCGTTCACCTGGCAACCGCCAAACCCAGACCAGCCAATCGTATTGCCAGACAGAGAAGCGTGATTCATCACTCCAGAGAACACGTCTCTAGAGTCCAGTGGTGGCATGCTTTACACCACGGCATCCGACGCTTTGCATTGCACTTGGTGATGTAAGGCTTGGATGCAGCTGCTCGGCCATGGAAACCTATTCCATGAAGCTTTCTAACTAACTAATAAACAACTTAAACTATATACAAGTGGAAATCTTTCTATCTACTAAATTAGCTGTGTACAGGTCTGTCTATCAGTCTTTTAATTAAGTGATCTAATTAGAAGTGAACTACATGGCTATGAACTAGCTGACCAGGGCCAGATTAACATAGGGGCAACTGGAACTCCAGTTCCATGCCCACCACTGAAAATAGGCCCAGCCGGCCCAGTTTGCCTAGGTATGCCTGATGGCAATCCAGGCCAGCCGGGCTGAACACAATCAAGCAGAGGTGCTGGCGGCTCTCTAATCAGGCATTATAGGCAGCCGCCCGCCAGGGCCTCGCAGGTCACCAGCGCCGACTAATTAGAGAGCCGCCCCAGCTGCTTCCCATGCGACTGACCAACAGCACCAGGCCCATGATGCTCTTAATCCGGCCCTGTAGCTGACAATATCAAACTAACAACCTACTTTGGATAAACACATGTGAGCAAAATAACCTAACTGATACATTTATAATCAAGTAGCAGAAGGAAAATGACAAGCAGGGTCAGGCAGGAGCCTCTGCAGATAGGACATTTCAGGAATGGGACAAGGAAGAGAATAGAGTATACAGGAAGTAGACACAGCACACAGGATCAGAATGACTGGTACAATGGGTCAAGGCACACAGGAAGCAGGTAGATAGCAGGGTAAGCAGAAATGGCAAGGGACAGCAGGTGAGATGGGTCAAGAACAATGACAGGATAAGGATCAGATTCACAGGAGGCAGGACCAGGATAGTTAACAGCAGAACATCACAAATGGCCAAGTAGGGAAACCGCTGAGGCACGGCGAAACTCCTAGGCTGGAACGAAATACCTAGCCAGTATCAGGTGTAGACCCATTTCTGGGACCTGAGGGCTGCTAGGAGACACCTGCTGGTAGATACTGGAACTGCACTCTTTAGGTCCAGGGACTACAATACTACGGGCAGGTGGTGTCGTTTCTAACAGAGCTCAAGTGCAGACCACTTGATGATGGGATTGCCTCCACACCTATGAATGGGGTAGGATAACTCAACTATCTGGGATCTACACATAACTGAAATATTCATTCAGATAGATTGACTTTTAATAACAAACTCTTGTGTCTGTAAAGATGAGTTACTGATTACGATGTGCCCTGAAAATCTTGCTCAACATCTGATTAAACAGTTTTGTCGTATGTCTTCCTATAAGAGTCTTCTTAGTAAATCCACTTAAGTAATTAAGAAGTAATATGAAATAGTATACATGTCTCAAATTAATGTTTTGTGGTTTACGAAAACATTAATATGCACAACCAGTCCACCACAAGTGTCCACCGCACCAATTTGTTTTATTATGTTACAAGCAAACACTTGCCTATTGGTGGAGTTGTAAAGTTGAAATGACGCAACAGTAGGGACATACTGTAAAGGTGTAGAAAGAAAAAATATTTGTGCAAAGAAAAATAGCGTATAGATGCTATATAAGAATGAAAGCGATATTAAAGTCAACATGTTTTTAAGCTATATCACGTGCTGATTACATCTTTGACCTGTACAATTTTTGTATATTAACTGGACATACACTTTAAATAAATAAAACTGACCCAAAACTATTATAGTTGCCCCTTTATGCTTCCATGTTCTTTCACATGGAAGATACAGAATGCGCTTGTGATCTGTATCAAGATTTTATATGATCTGCTTGTCTGTTGGTCATATCATCAGTTCTGCTTTTCACAGAATCTCTGAACCGGAAGTCAACAATCAGACCCTTTCCATCTACTCAGTGCCACATGATGAGCATTTCCACCCTGTGCAAGACTTGGTCAGCTTCACAGAGTATTTTTCAGATATGGGCAGTAGATATAAAGTTTAAATTTTTTAAAGCTTGCACTTCCATGTTTTTGTTAATGTATTACATATAGAGATTTGTAGGTCAACCGCTACAAGGAAGAGGATTTCTTTGTGTTTAGTGAGCCAATTGGACATGGTTGATTAGAGCACTGTACAGGGGTGGGGGTCAAACTGCTGGAAATGTTCTATACTATAATAGGTATTTACCATAGTAAAATGTTTTTTCTTAATTATCCTAATCACATACGTTGATGCACAATCCTTTGGTAGATGGTTGAAGTATGCACATTTCAGGGGGATATGCTTTATATGTTTCTCATACTGTACTTGGAGTTCTCATACCATGCTTTGCATATTCTATTTACAAAAGTGGTGTAATGTAAAACTGGTACTTCCCTTTTGTTTTTTTTTTACAAATTTGCTTGGAAAATGGCTTTCGCTGGCACATTCACTCCTCTTAGCATGTGCCTGCGGAGAAGACATTAATATTCACATTGTGGGCAGAGGATGGGCTTGATCTGTGAAACAGTGTTTTTAAAGGTGAGCAAGCATTGCTTGCATTTCAAACATCGTTTTTACCCATAAAAAAAGATGGATTTACTTATTAACTGAAAAAAGCAAGTGCAAAGATAACAAATTCCATTGTTTATTTTTTCTGTGCAGAAAACAGTCGACAGTTGGTTCTCATTGTACTCTTTCTCCAAATGGAGGACCATGCTGTATTCCAGAAGAGCTTGCAGGAGGGGTAAGTGTCTGAAAACTGTCTCCCTCAGCCAAGATCCAATCCTGCTGTTTTCCCTTCCCTCCAGTATGATCTGATCCCAATCCCGGCTTCTCCATCAGAATCTGGCCCTACTGCCCCTTTTCCCCATCTATCTCATCTGACCCAGCTACCTCCTCTTCTACAATTATTTGATCCCACTGCCTCCTCCTCCATCAGAATCTGATCCAGCTGCCTCTTTTCCATATCTATTACAATCTATTACAATCTGATACCACCGCCTCTTTCTTGAGCATGATCTAAGCCCACTGCCTCCTCCATCAGAATTTGAACTAGCTGCCTCCTCTCCTCTCCCTAATGCAATCTGACCTTGTGACCTTTTTGCCTCCTTCTTGACCATAACCCTTTTCAAATATGTCCTGTCCTCCACCACCTTAAATAAATGTATATATACATCTATGTTCCCCAAGGCCTTTTGGATGGTGAATTTCTTGTATTTACAAAAGTCTTGCGATGGTTGTAAGGTCTGTGGCCAGCATTATACAATATGCGCATGGAGGTGATGGAGATTGGAGTTGGGGAGTTATATAGTTTGCAGTATTTATATAGTTGCATTACTATTTTTTAGCATTTACATGCAAGTCTGTATTTGTATACAGAGTAAAGAATTTGAGTACATCATTGTTAAGGTGCCCATACACTGTACGATTATCATACGATAATCGCGTGAAATCCCGCAATCGTACGATAATCGTAAAGTGTATGGAAGGCGTGCGACCGTTTCTACTGTACGGTCGCACGTCTTCCGCCGAACAAGCAGGCTGGAAAACCTGCCGAGAATCGTAACTTGTTGCAACGACTGATTGTCTGCTAAATAATTAATCATTTCTGAGTTTATTTTTTTGCCATCAGAGATTATCTTCAAATCTTCTTTGGAATGCTATTTAATACCCCCATGTCACACACATATATATTGATTGAATGCTGTATGCCTTTCTTCATCTACTATAGATGACAAACAATATAAAGGGTCCTGAGCAAAACTTTTAATGGGGCCGCTCTCTCTTTATGCAGATGCTTGACCTTCTGAGCTGTTCTGCTGTTGCCACTAAACTCATATGTCACAGTTGTACTGCTCACTGCACATCTTGTTGAACAAAGACAGCCCTGGAGTGCAATCCATGTGGAGAGAGACTGTTTCCTGGCCTGCAGACTTTTGCAGGAAAGCAACCTTTTCTATACCTCCCAAATTTATGAGCAGGGAAAGACTCTTTTTAACCTCTGATATTTCTCATCATTTGGCCTGCACATTACGAACCTTAAAAATGATTAACATGCGGACATAGTAGCTGTAGCTCCAGAGCTGCAGTTTGCACAGGATATTTGGCACATGTACAACACCCTCTGAGTCACGACCTCTCACATCCCTATCACTTGGCTCCCCAAAGTCTCCCCAGTCTCAGCAAAATTATTCCCATATATACTTGACCTATACAAACCTGAAATACCAGCGTCAGGTGGAGTCGGCTCTATGGAGAAACCAAAATGGCTTTTAAACAGTTTTTATGGTTTTCCACTTTAAATATACAACTAAACTTATTTATATTTACAACTAAACAAATATGCCCTTGAGATATAATTCTCAGAGCACTATGGGTTTTCTAAAGAGATAGCATAGGAAAAGTTGTTACATTTTAGACATAGCTTGTCTCTGGTTAAAACTTCCTAGACAGCCCAATAAATGGAGGGTAGCAGAATTATCATTCTGACTCATTGAGCTGTGTATGGAAATTTCAGCTTGAACTATGAGCTCTGTAAATTATCATCAAACAACAAACAACACAAAGACAGCACAAACAGCGCTCTCGGATGGGCCCTAGAAAGATGGATAGTGTGTCACTGACTAACATGCAGCCCTGGGAAACAGGAGGAGTACCTGTAATTGTGAAAACCAAAAAACAAACACTAGGGCGCAAAACAAATACTAAGCTAACTGCCTGGACAGAACATTGCAGGGAGGATAACAGAAAAAGATTATGCACTTACTTATGTGGGTCCGAGGACCAGATGAGGAACGGCCTGTGGGGAGGATCGGGATGCCCAAGGTGTGTGTTCACTACAGGCTGGTATGCTGCCTGAGGCTGCTCGTCCCAAGGGGGAGAGAGAGGGGAGAAAGGTAGACGAGGGGGCGGATGGCGGAACAAGAACTTCATCCGTGTCCCCGCTGCTTGAGTGGGAGATCCGGGCGGTGTGCAAGAGACTGGGCAGTGTAGCGTCTGGCTGAGCTGCTGTGGCTGCAGCTGTGGATAGTGCGACTCAGTCTGTGTGTGGACCGAGGCGTAGCGATGTGCCCGAGCCTTGATAACGGCAGTAGAAGGGAGCCGACAGGGAAACCAGCAGGGTGACAAGTGGTCGGGTCAGTGACAGTCGTGGGTTGGAGGATGTCGGGAGCAACGCGTTTCGAGGAAAACACCTCTTTTTCAAGCTCAGAAAGAAAGCTCAGAGAAACTATGAGGAAAGCCTGAAAATATGTAAAAAGAAATTGCATCTTCTGCTTGGGAATATGCATGGACGTACAACATATTTACATGCAATATTTCATATTTACCGGACGAAGAATATTTTTAAATTGTTATTTTCTTTATTTAGTATAGCCAGGATGAGAGGATATATACAAAGCACCGTATTACCTAATACACTGATTGGCATTAGCTAATTTGCCTACAAACGTCAGGTGGTCATAATAATCTGGCCACTCAGTGTATACCTTATATAAGTCCAGTACTGTGAGTATCTGTGCACTTAGTAACACGCTGGAAGACAAGTAACAGCCTTCTCTGCTGCAACTGAATTATTGGCCCTAATAAAAGGGAACCAGAGACGTTTACAAATATTTATCTAAACCTTCATGAATAACTTCCTTTTTCTTTTTCCACAAAACTGTCTTAGCAAACACTCCAAAATTAACATGTTTTGGCTTTTGTAAGCATTCGCCACATTAGGAAGTACCATTCATAAGCTGTTAAACAAATAAGATTTTATATATGCTGTTAGATGGTTAAAGAAGGACCAAGTATTTCAAAATGCCACAAAGTAACAAGTATGCCTTGTGAATTTGTAATCCCTTTTTAACCAGTAGTGAGGAAGTATGCTGACCTTTCCTGATTATTCTTCTTCTTTACTATCATTCAGATCCAATGGTTTTAGTAGTTTCTGACTCACTTGAACAGGAACAAATATGCAGAGCTTTGAGAGTGTCTGTTAATATAGGCAAAAAATTAGCAGTTTTAGGAGGAAGTCAGCATTGACAATCTCAATATCTTTATTAAGAAGACGTGGAGCCTTAGGGCCATATCACATGAGCGATTTTGTAGCTCCCTCAAGTGTTTTTGTTGCTTTATAAAAAAATAACTGCAGACAATGAAAGGTCTGTGTTGCAGGGAATCCAAAATTTGTAGCTCAGCCTCTGAGTGATTGCTTTTGCAGAGTTTGTAGCTAGTTATGGCCGTCTTCAGTAACTGCTCATGTTATCCAATGCAGCTGCTAACGATCATAGCACACCAGTGATATAAAGAAGAACTCTGGGCAAATTACATTTTAACCGTTGCAGTGGGGCTACCCCAGCACTGCAAGTGTTAAGTGCTCATTGTGGCTAGTAAGCTAAAGTAACAGTTATATTCACCCGAAACCTGATCCCGGCTGGCTCCTACACCGCTCCCTCTAGCCTGTCTCCTGTTCTGCTCCAGTGATTTGTCCCTTGCTGTCCTCACATTCTATACACTGTATAGAAAATGATGACTCCACGGGACCTTAGACCTCTGGAGCGGAAGGGGAGCGAGGCTGAAGGGACCGATCTAAGAGCAAACTGGGATCTTGGGTGGCTTGGGTGAGGTTATCATTGTTATTTTAGCTCCCTAGACAAAACAAGCGCCTAACCTTTGCAGTGCAGGGGTAGCCCCACTGTAAGGGATAAGATTGTATTTGCCTGGAGTTCAGCTTTAAATAAGCAATGTAACCAAATACAGCAGTATCCAGGTTACAAATCTCCAGAGAATATAATCAGAGATTTGTAGCTGCTACAGATCTCTGATACAAAGCTACTAGCGTGACACATCCCTTAAAGGAGAAACATTGGGAGGGTAAAATATAGTCTTCCCAATACTTAGATTTGCTGTGGGACACTGCAGTGGTCACATGTTGGCTCTATGTATCTGCTCAGTTCACAGTCACCTTCCTACAGGGATTACCCCCTCCTTTCTGTTTCTCTAGTGCTCATTGGAGGGACAGTTAGGGGGAGGGGAGGGGTTGGGCACAGCTATATGCTGATTTTGGGTCGCATGAATACATTATTAGATGTACTTCTGTAACCCAAAAGAGAAGTAAACAAACGTTGTCTTTACTCCTCTTTAAGGGCCGGTTCACACCACAAACAGTGCGTTCCAGAGCGGTCAGGCTCTGGGATGCACTGTATCGCACTCTGGCCACACTAGTGCCTGCGTTATGGTCCAGTGCGATCAACAAAAATAGTGCTTGCAGCATTTTTGCAGATCGCACTGGACCGGAATGCAGGCACTAATGTGCCACGCGTTCTGGTGATCGCACTGCAGGCGGGGGGGCGTGGCTGCGGTGCCGTTGACTTCAATGCATTGTCACACCCCCTCCCGCCCCTGAATGCAGGGTGCAGGCCGGAGTGCAGTACAGTGCGTTCAAGAGCCTGACCGTTCAGCTGTCAACGCACCAAATTCACTCAGTGTATAGCCAGCTTTAGACACTAAAGCAACATAAAAGAACGGTCACCTTGCCCATTCCTGTTGAGTGATAAATTAGGCAAACATGCACTTATATATACAGCAGTGCGAGAAGTATAGGTCAATTAAGAGACAATTCATGTAGCTCCGACAGATAGAAAATCTTTTTATGTGATGATATACAGTACACACCCATCAGATCTTTTCACATCTTTCTCTTGAAAGGCATATAGAGAACTGTCAGCTTATAAAGCTAATGACTAGGATGTGGCACAGGAAACAGGCACTGAAAGGAAGATATGTTTATAAATTATTAATATAGTTTTAGCAATTAAAAGAAGGTTATTTCCAGGTCTGACAGACATCAATTATATTACGTAAGAGCTTGAGGTGAAGAGTTACTATTAATAAGCTTATAGATATGTATGAACTTGAGACTTTGAACCTGCCTGTAATCTGGAACTCCAGTCTTTTATTCCAAGCTAGTCTACAAATTACATTTCATGGCAGGATATCCTGTGATATAAAGACACACACAAAGATATGATACTTTAAAGTGACACTAAACTCAGGAGTTAAATCTTAGAAATACATTCAAGTACCTTACCTATTAACAAAAATGTATCTTATTTGTGTATCACTCGGCTGTAGATCCTCAAATCATTCCTGAATTGGTGCTGACACTGTCCTTCCTTCTGAAGGGGGGCTACTTTTTGTTCCCTGTGTGTGTTGTACAGTAGCCACTGCTGCAAGCTCGCTCTGTGATGGACTACAATCTCATGTTTAATTTACGAATTTGTAATTAAAGGGGAACTATGAGTGAACTTCAATACAAATTAGTAAACTAAACATGAGATTGTAGTCCATTACGAGTGAGCTTGGAGTGGTAGCCACTTTACAACACACACAGGGACCATGGGGAATAAAATAAGCCACCCTCCAGAAGGAAGGACAGTGTCAGCACCAATTCAGAGAGGATTTGAGGACCTACAGCCGAGTGATACACAGATAAGATAAATTTTTGTTAATAGTTAGGTACTTGAATGCAATATTAAGATTGAACTCCTGAGTTTAGTGTCACTTTAATGCTGTCGCTTTGAGTATTTTTTACAGAGACGCTTAGCTCCATTAAAAAGGAAATGTCACAGCAAAGATAACCCTCTGTAATCTGGTGTGTCATGTACCAGTGGATGAACATTTTGTCCTACCACCTAACTGTATATGTTGATGCTGTGATTGTTCATCTATATATGAGCCGTATATGTTGGCAGTCTCTAACATTCAGCATACTGCTTGTGCCATTTAGCAATATCAGCAGTGGGTTCTGCTAAGCCTAGAACAGATGTTTTAGCGGCTAGGTACTTGCTGTGGTGGGTTGACTATGTGACGTACCAGTGTGCCATGCTGTGTGGAAGCAGGACCTATGAGTGTATGCTGGCATATCATGAGTGATCCCGTAACTGTGGTCTAACATTGAGAGTACAAACAATGACACACGTGTAGAAATGACTATACTGGGAGCAAACAAGAGCCAAAGTGTACAAAAGAGAATGAATAAACTATTAGGTGTCATGGAAATTTTAAGGAAAGGCTAATGAACCTAGCTGAAACAAATTTACTTACTTTACAGAAGATGGGAATATGATCACTTTATATAAATAACCATAGAGCAGAATAGAAAGCAAAGCTGTACCCTTTAAAGCAGTACTTTATTAAAAAAAAGATTGTCACATACCTAGCAGAGGCTGGAATGACAAGAGGGCCTCCCTTATACCTCCTGCCCTATATCCCCTGGAGATGGAGACAGTGTGTAGCAGGAAGATGAATGGCATGGTTGCCTACAGTGGGTTCAGACGTAGCAGAAGATCACAATGCAGTCTGGAAGCTGCTTTGAGATGCTCAGACCAGGTGTGTGAAAGCTGGTATGCAAGATGGGTACAGGAACAGGTGTAAAGAGAAGAACCCTTGTCAGGGCAAGCAGGGTCAACAACAGCCAGGCAGCAGAGATACCAATTCAGAAGCCTGAGCAAGGTCAATGGCCAGGCCAAGGTTGATAGCAGACAGACAGCAGAGGTACCTTGACAGCAGACAAAAGGCACAATCAGGATATCAGCCGAAGTCAGCAACAGGAGATCTGGATACAGCAGAGTCAGGAGGCAAGCTGGGGTAAACAAAAGGCAGCATAAAGCAGTCCAGGTCATGGATCTCCGGAGTTGTTGACCACTCAATGACTCTCTTTAGTTGTCCTGTGCTTTAAAGAGGGCTCTTGGAGCCAAAGCTAGTGCTAAACATGTACGCTCATTCAAGCTAATGCCAGGGGCATGAGCATGCACATTAGCACACACCTTTGCATGTGTACCAACACACATGTATGTGTGCACAGCCGTGATCCTATGCAGCGGACCATAAGCACTGCAGTAATACATACACACAGATCTCTGGGCATGGTCGTGTGCTCAACCTTCCTGACAAACATAGTTTTTTTGGTAGAAGAGACTTTATATCTATCTTCCCAGCATCTCCATCCAAGAATGAAGATGGGATTATGTATCTCAGGGCTAGGCAACCTTGGCACTCCAGCTATTGTAGAACTACAAGTTCCATGAGTCATCGCATAACATCATGTCTCCGAGAGGTATGATGGAATTTGTAGACATTTTACACTAGATATGATTTTATCCCCAAAAAAATTGTTCAATTGTATATAATATATTGCTATGTGTAAATGGCACTATAATGACCACTAATTCTGTTGTTTGTCTGTGTCTGCAGCTTTTAACCCCTGGAAAACTGGACCATCATACAGTGCATACACAATTTGTATCTAAGGTAAAAAATAATAATATGTAAGACGCATAACTTTCCCACAAAAGCAAATCTATAATGATGGCAATTACTACTAACATTTTCTAAATGACAAACTGCTCATAGAACCTGGATGAAGGCATCTCGATTTTCAACCAACCAGCTGGGTTTCACATCTTATAACCTGCGCTTGAAAAAACTGATTTCATGAAATTACAGTTATGGAATAGAGGAGATTATGTTAATTAAGGTGTAGTCATAATTATAGAAGACGGGCCGGATGACATTATTTAGATCTAACTTACAATAAATAGTGTTAATTTGGCTTATTTATGAAACAACTTATAACACCAATAAGATGCCTTTTTTTGTAAGATCAGCAAATTAACATTGCTGACGGGTGTATGTTAAAGCTTCTATGAGGTTTCAGCAATTGGATTTACATATACTTTAACACCTGATATATGTTGCGCATTTTCATATTAATAAAGTCACCCAAAACAGTGTTTGTAAGGATGACATTTGTGTAATTCCAGGTTGTAACGTTTTCTATACACTGCACTTAGACCTCTGGCACAACTGTTGGTACACATTATAGACTCCAGGTATGAAAATGATAACCTTTCTTTAACATATGCTTGTTTTATTTCAGCCTATCCTGTTTTGGGGACGGACCCGTGACAATCTAAATGAAATGATTATGATAGAGCCAATTCTAGGCTGGGAAGGACAAGAAATTAGGTCTTATGGAAATGTGGTCATGTCCTCTTTAGCGGTTATGCAGATTAGCCACACACAGGTAATAATGTGCTATACTGCATGTTATCTATTAAAATAATTAAGATATTACAATGACTACAGTTATTTAGACAACTGTCCACAGCTAGCTGCAGAAATGAATCTCAGTGACACTAGGGGCTGATTTTTAAATCATCCAGTCATACATTTGTCAAATGCCATTTGCATGGCATTTTTGCCACCAAATGGAGCCAAGGAGCATAGGAATTTCCTATGCTCCTTAGCTCTACTAAGTGCTGTGCGAATGGCATTTGGCTAACATATGGCTGGGAGGATGAATTATAAATCATACCTTATCTGTCATTGCTTCTTCTGGAAAGTTCTCATCTGCACTGTGCAAACAAGCAGGTACAGTGTACATCAAGCACATATCCAGTGGGAATTGTACCTTTGTCTCATTTTTTTTTTCACATCTTTTTAAATTTTCACATCTATGTAATTTTTTGGTCCAGTGCTTGATTTTGTGATATTTCTACACAGTGTGCATGAAACACATGGTTGTAGCTATAACATTTTGCACTGCATATATATATACCTAATCGGTGGAACATTTTGAATGGGTTCAATGCAGGGTCTGAGTACTGAAGGGTTAAAGCAGAACATCAGCCGACAGCCATAAACAACAAGATACAATTTAATTGCAAATTAAAAGATAAAATAACAAGTACATCAGGCATTTTCACATCACTTCCTGCATGCTGGTTCAGAGACTGCCAATCAGTTTGATTTTTTAGCAACAGAAGAGTAATGCCTGGCTACATATTACTGTCAGTAGGTTTCCTTTTCGTTATTCTAGGAGCAGCAGATTAATAACAGATTTTTCTTAATGTTTCATACCAAAATTACTGCTACACTATATCTATTCTGCACTGTCAATTATGTGAAAATGTGTAAGGTGAAAGACCGAAATCAATGTCAAGGATTCTTGAACAGGACTTACTGGCAGTGTTGTACTCGTACTGTATTTATATCATGGGGTGTCCACGTATGGCAATTTGTAATTGATTTAAAATCGAAGTAAAAGCTTGCTACCTCAGTGAAAACAAATGGAACTTTGCATGTCTGTATAGAGAGGAAATTAAATAAGCAGTCATATCAATACTTTGTTATATTTTGTAACTCTTTTAATACTTCAACATTTATACTTCCTTTTGTGTTAGAGAAAACCTTACAGCACATAAATACGGGAACCATTGTTAACTTGTTTGTGAAAGCCCCAGGCTGTCATTTGCATCCTTGCTTTGCTGCTTAGTAAGTCATAGAATGGTAAGTATGCCTGTTAAGGGGTTTGACTTTAGCTGCTGCATACTTGTTCCAAGTCAATAACTTACTAACCTGTGGAGCAAGGGTGAAGGTGACATTTCCTTCAAAAACCAAAACTGCAAGCACATCATCTATCGTTCTATCACAACAATTCCTCTTTGACTGCTTTGATTACTGATTTACCCCCAATCATTACCCTTTATGTGATGTAAAAATGTTCTCATGGCAGTTTTTACTATTCTCCTCAGGAGATGACAGAGGTCTTCATGGTTCTCTTTCCTCTCCATGTACTCATTTTGTCCATGGATCACCAAGAGAGGCGATTTATGTATCAGGTAAAGTATAATTTATGTATAGCTATATGTTGACAGGTAACTGCAAGGGGTGTTGAGGGTACAACTGGCCATGAGTCATTAGGGTCATGTAGTCTAAATATAAAAGAATAAAGCAGGAATGATGTTCACTACCCAACGTTTTTACGTATGTATGTCCTTAAGTTTATTAAACTTGAATAATACTACTACTACTACTACTAATAAGAAAAAAAAAATAGGTTTCCAAAGGTTTTAGGGTCCATCAAATGTTAGTTTATGAGATGTTCCTGTACAGCACTGTGCCATTTTATTGGGTCTCTGGATATACATCTGCAGAGGACTGTCACAGCTTCCAGATAAATATTTGAGGATAGTACCACCAGAGGAACCTTTGACATAATTTCTATGTTTATTTTTATGTATTGGGAACCACTGCTAAATAACATTAATTGGGGGTCAGTGGGAAAAATACACCTTACAAAAATACACCTCGTATATTAATGGAAGCATGCACCCCTTAGAGTGGTGGTCGGAATGGCTCCCATACAGACAGCTAAAAAGATCATTTGTGTAATGCCACTGGTTCTTCCAAGTGGCATTGGTCTTAGATCCATGCAGGCACCATCACATCGGAGGTCAATCAGCCACAGCTCAAGCAGCAACTTTGCAAACCCTAGGATTCTACAGAATCCTAGTTGAGAATGGCTGCTGTAGAGAAACAGATGTGCCACAGACAAAATGTATTCAGGCATCATATCTTATCAGATCTAACACTAGTGAGTTACTGCAGGTTATTCTGTTCTATTGAATAAACCTGGTGGTGTATCATTCCTGGCACTAAGGCTTGTGTCTTCTTTGCAGGGACTTCTGCCTCTTTCTGGAATGAGTGTGGTATGTGACCAAATAAATAATGGTTATACCTTTGAAATCAGTGGTGAGTATCATAATACCTATATTTACATTAGCAATCATTAAACCAGAAGACATGTGCCATCCCCCATCCCACTTTCTCAAAAGGAGGCTTGCATGACAAATATAGAAATTAGACTAAACACTAGCTTAGGCCAGATGGTATGAACAGCATGTCCAACAGTAGACAGGCAGAAAGGAATTAGTCCCAGATCAAGGATGTCCTCCTGCTCTACTTATGCCACCTTTATATAGGCTGACTGGGGCTATTTGACAGTTTAAGAACAATTTTGGTCTTATTTGTCAACACAAAGAACTAAATGCAAGCGGCAATAACGTCACACCTATGATAAGAAATACACTTTCATTGCTCTGACACCTCCAGTGTGATTAAATCTGAACTCAATTTGATGCTTTTTCCAAAAATGTGCTTGCCTTCTGTAGTGACCATAAATCCATTCTGATGTTTGCAGGCCCAATGATAGAGCCACGGCAGGTATCCTGTCTCAGCTCCAGTGAGAGAAGTCTGTGGATTTCAGCTCTGCGGGATCACATCCAGGCGGCCAATACCCACTACCCTCCAGCCTCTCCATCTATCAGCATCTTGTCTTATTTAGTAAGTTTATAGACATTACTGCATCTTAAAAACCTGTTAAAAACCTGAGTTACTAAAAGCAGAGTAAACATCATGTGCTTGAAAGTCAAGCATTGAGCACTTTCCATCCCATCCCTCAATATTGACAACTCTCAGTTGGTTATCTAGAAACCTGCTGCGTATTGTGTAATGTATTGTCTCCCTCTAACTAATTAGTTGTGGTTGAACTGGCCGCATTTATAGGACCTGTCCAGTTTATACTTCAGTTTCTGGTTGATGCTGGCAAATAAAATCACATCCTGACTTTGTATATTCGAATAGATCTCATAGTCTATGATGGTGAGATTTGTGCTTTTGGGTCCCTGATCTGCTTGCCTAAATTGGGACTCACAAAGGCTGCAGAGCTGGGACATCCAGCAAGGAGCTCTCCGTAGCTGAAATGTAAGTTTTGGATATTAATATCAATCTGAATGAAAATTCTCATGCCTTGAGTTTATATATGGCTTGATTGTACTATCAATATATGCCAATGGTTATACAAGTTTTGGGTGCCATTGATTATACAAGCTTTGTGTTTAGAAATATTATTGTCTGGTAAATGTCTTGTTTGTCATTAGTGCACCTATATATACCTACATGCTGGGCAGTAATACTGATCATTCACTACTTTGTTTTCTTTAGAGATGGCTCTGCTACAGTCAGGTTTTGTTAATAGGGGATTACAAACACACAATTGCAAACCATATTTGCGGATTTGAGTGCTCTGCAATAGTGATGGGCGATCCTGCCCATGTTCAATCTTGTGGGATGTTCGATGAACTTGTCAAAAAAATTTACAGATTACAAACATTAATGTGAACCCAACAGAAGTCAATAGGAGGTTCAACTGGAATATCAGCTCTCTCTATTTTCAATGCTAATAGGTAAGGGTTTGAGAGACAAAAGGCATGGGGAGCTAGGCACTGCCAGGGGGGAACATGTATTTTTTTTAAATACTGTTCAGTGGGAAGCAGCTCCTTTAAAAAGAGTTTAAGGGCAACATTACACAATTCCTTTAAATAACATTAATGGAGATGCCTTAAGCCTGTATGTGAAGTGGCTCGCCTGACCAAAGTATTGAAGCAAAAGTGACCTTTGCAAAGCAAAATCAATACCACTTACATTGCCGCTAAATTACATTTGGTAGCTGCTTCATTCTGTTTGTAAACAAAGAGGTCAGGGATTCCTTTTAACATATATACCAGACTTTTATGCCAAATGGATTGTAAGGGGGGGTCCCCATGAAATCCCTTATCCGAGTGTGCAGCCTGGCAAGCAGAGAGACACCCGGATATTCCTTCAAACTGGCCAGGGATCATTGGTTGCTAGGATGCTGTGCAGACCGACAATATTTGGACATTGGCATCACCTGGGGCTTGCGTTCGGTTTGTTGACAGTCTAAAGCAAGCCGATAGGGCAGCGGGTTAGTAGTTGCTGGGACACTGATGGCAGCATGTGTCCTGCTGGAGTGGATTTTTAAGTGAGTACTAGATATTGACACTTGGTGGTGGTGCTCATTATCATTACAATTGCAATTCTATCGCTTTGAAGTTGCCACTTAGTTCAGTTCCTTGAAATGGTACAATATCCAAAGTTTAAAAATACACAGCAAAATCTACAAAAAGTTACCATTACCAAGCCTGCTCTATACTGCTCCTAGGGTCCAAATCCCCAGACTGTGCACCTAGGGAACCAAGCATAAAGAACATTCTCATTACTTCTCTTACATGGCTGTATATTATGCAAACGTTTCCTATGAAATCAGTTTGTGTATATAATCAGTGTACATTCATATATGTGTGCAATTTTTTTTTGTATGCAGGACCAACTGTATATGCTCTCTTTAGACTTTTGTCTGTAAGTATATTTATTACAACAGCTGATAAAGTGATAAAGAAAAAATGCACAGTAACTTAAAGAAACAAGAGTTCAGATGTCATCAGTATACAGAAAATCATTTCTATTGGATATTAGGGGTTGCTTGTTGCCTTATTCACTTGCACTTTTACCATAAGTAGAATTATTTTTGTGCAGTGATGTCATTTAGGTTCAAATTCTAAAAACCTAACAGCTTTGCCAGATTTCATGGTGGTATATTACATGTTAATGTATTTCTTTAGAGATTTACCGGTTTATTCAAACTGAAGGAAGGAATAAACAAAGGAAGTGAAGGGGTGCCCCCTACTGTCTGAATATGTGTTTTCAGAGGTTTCACTAAACTTCATCCTTTGCCACAGTTTCCTTTATTCTGGTGTAGCGCTCACCCTCAAAGGAGCCACTGGAATAACAGGGTCATCACTAATCTGTCTAGGGGATTTGGTCTTAAGCTGCCCCATTAGCATTTAACCACACTTCTTCTAGTGCTCACATAGCTGATATCCACTCCAATATTGTACTGCTGAATAACTTTTATTAAACTACTTCATACTGGGAAGAGAGGGTATAGGGATCCCAGACATCTAGGGTATAACAGACGTAGACTCCAGACTCACCAGACCTTGTTACCATCTCACTGTAGATCCACTTGTGGTACAGTGAATAGTAATTAGAGTAACAGATGAGCAGGAGATATGTACAGATCCTCAGCAGGAGAGATACCAGTCATGCTCCAAAGGTCCTCTATGTTCCAGGCACCTCCAGCAGACATCAGCTTCTCTGGTTCTCCACTGATAACAGCACAGGCCTCCTCCATACTTGAGGCAGAGGGAAACTCTTGCCAAACTCCAGCCGCTGCCCACCCCAGGGCTCAGGCCTAGCATGGGGGGTGGCTGGACGGCACCCAGTCCATTGCTGATCCATTGCTGGTCCCGAAATAGTCTAAGCACATGACAATTCCCTCCAGTGTATGTACCCTGTCCCAGCATGCACCACTGGTTGAGAGAAACCTAGTGATTGGCTGCTGTCCTGTACATACACTCATAGTGTCCCTCATTGGCTGTCCCACAATACAGCAAAGTCACACTAAACTCAGGGGGTACAATCAGTGCCAGACACCTGGAATTAACCACATAAATGCCAATATAATCCAGTCAGGCTGACTACAGCCCTGGCAATCATTAAATGTCTAGTAGCCACCCCACAAAAGGTGATGGGGCTACACTGGATTGCATATATGATACTAGCAACTATTATACTGATGAAGCAGTTTTACAATACATGCAGTCTATAAATGTGCCATCAAAAGATGTTCGCAATAAAGATAAATGCTAAGGATAAGTAAACAGCTGTATTTATCCATGTAGGATATTCATTGAACAATTGAGGTTATTGCTCTAAACTGTACTATATGCAATCACCTGGAAACTGTCATTGTTCAAAATCCCATCACACCTGCATACTAACTGTGATGTAAAATTATGCTAACAGAATGCTAAACCTAAGTATTGAAAGTTGAAAGTCAGGACAGGTATTTGACACTGCAACATGCTTACGGCCTTTAATTTCTATATCTCTGTGTGTCATGATTCAAGCACTACTATTGGGTGAAAATGTAGTTCATAGAGTTGAAGTAAATTCGGATTCATTTTAAACCTGCTAAAGTGAGTGCAGACCTGAAAACAACCTGTACATACTTATAGTTAACTTTCCTTCTCTCTCCCATGCCTCACTATTGGTTCATAGCTTTGACTGGCAGCTTCAACCAGTGCGAGAAAAGTACAGGAGGGGGCATACTTGATTTCACAAGTTATAGTTGAGATTTGCATAACAAGAGGGCCCCACGTGATAAGAGGCTCTTGGTCACTGTGGGAATCGTCTAAAAAACAATACATTAATCTCTAGGTGGCTTCTTTTCAGGTCTGGTGTCACTCTGGTGTCAACTGTTCGATTAATAAAATTGATTGTTAAAATTGGACCCATACATAGTCAAGCAGGGCCATTGACTAAACCAAGTACTAAGAACTGCTGGGAAATTAAACTGGCATTAGGCATTAATAGAGATACGTCTGTGAAAATGATCTGGCCTTAAGTGAAATTTCAGCAACATTCACATACAGTCGACTCCAAAGCAATTTGCCAACAATCTCTCATTCCTAGAAAAAAGTTGAGATCTTCCCTTAAGTTAAATTTTAGCATCAATTGAAAGCAACATATTACTACTAATCCCTAGTAGGCGATGGCCATGATAATATTTTATAATATTGTAAAAAAATTAATTTTTGACTGAAGTGTTTTTGATAGTGAAAATAGTTTTGTATAGATTGTTTAAAAACATGCAGGTAATAGGAATTGCTTCTAATACTTTCTTTTTTTGTCTCAATCTAAAGATTCCATGTGACCAATTGTGGAAGAAGAAGGAGCTAGTGAGGTATCTGACATCATGCCCCATCCTGAACTGGGAAGGCAAACCGATCCAACACATGGGTAGTGCCATCTACCTGTCTGCAGTGAGAGCAGCTCACACAATAGACGGAGTAGGTCACATTGACCTGATCTGAATGCAATGCGTTACCGGTTCTGCTCACTATCCCTATAGGAGGATTCCTAAATGTGTATAAGACATTTCATGTTTTTTTTCCTACTGGCCTTCAAGAATTCTTTAATCGGGGTGTCCATAAAATACACCCTGTAATTTACACCACTAAACTCAGGAGTCAAATCTTAAAAATGTATTCAACTACATGAACTATTAATAAAAATTAGGGCTGGTAATGATTCAAAATTTCCTGTTCTACTAATCGAATTTTTTTAAAATCGATTAATCGATTAATTTCGATTAATTATAACGCACATACACATCCAACTACATTGGCCTATACACATACAGCACAGCAATAAAGTAATAAAATCAACTAGGATCACACTAATCCAGCACGTTATTAATCTCACGTGCCCCACTCAATATGGCCGCCGCTTGAGTGGGACAACTCAGAATAATAACGCGCTGGATTAGTGTGATCCTAGTTTATTTTATTACTTCATTGCTGTGCTGTGTGTGTATAGGCCAATGCCAGGGATCCAAACCTGAAATAAGCAATTTCAGGGAGGTGTCCCTCTCATTTCAGGGAGGTGCCCTCTCCCCCGCATCCGCGGAGGGGGAGTTAGGGGGGGCTGGGAGAGAGCACCCCCCTGAAATGATGGCAGATAGCACAGGAAGCAATAGCTTCTTTGCTATCTGCAGACTTTTTTTTTTTTTGCAGTTGTCAGACTAAAGAAAAAAAAGGCATAAGAATGCATAGCTAGATTCCTATTGGCTATTTCACTTTGCAATAGCCTATAGCAAACTAGCTATTGCACCCGCCCCCTGCTGCTTTCAATCACCAGAAGAGGACCTGATAGAAAAATTCAGGTCCCCCTCTGCTGATTGACAGCAGGCCTTTTTTTTTTTCTTTTCTGACTGACGGTCAGGCCGTGGCTCCCGATGTCAGAAAAAAAAAAAAAAAACGATCCCAGGGAAAGGTTTAATCTGCTCGATTGAGCAGATTAAACCTTTCCGGTAAAAAGTGTGTCTCTCCCGGGTGTACTCACCAGCCCAAGCAGCTCCATCAGGTAACGAAGGAGAGGGGGAGGAGTCCAGTGACGTCACGGACATCGACATCACCGGAATCCTCCCTCCTTCCCTCCGTTAGCTGACAGAGCCACTTGTGGAAGGGGGGGAGGAGTCCGGTGACGTCGATGTCCGTGACGTCACCGGATCTCCGACGGAAGTCGGCGGAGAGGTGAGTACGGAGCCAAAGAACTTTGATCGATCAAAATAATTTTGATAGATCAAAAAAATTAACGATTAATCGAGGGATTAATCGTTAATTTCCGCAGCCCTAATAAAAATGTATCTTATTTGTGTATCACCCATCTGTAGATCCCCAAATCATCTCAGAATTGGTGGTGACACTGTCCTTCCTTCTGGAGAGTGGTTACTTTTGTTCCCCATGGTCTCTGTGTGTGTTGTAAAGTAGCCACTTCTCCAAGCTCACTCCTGTGATGTACTACAATCTCACGTTTAGTTTACTACTTTGTATGGAGATTGTAGTCCATCACAGGAACAAGCTTGGGGCGGTGGCTACTTTACAACACATACAGGGACCATGGGGAACAAAAGTAGCCACCCTCTAGAAGGAAGGACAGTGTCAGTATGAATTGAGAGACCATTTGAAGATCTACAGCTGAGTGATGCATAGCAGTTTAGTTAATAGTTAAGGTGCCTAAATGCATTTTTAAGATTTAACTCCTGAGTTTACTGTCACTTTATGGCCTGACAAGTGCAGAAAGAGATTTAGCACTCTCCGGGTCCATGTTACCTGTTGCTGTTATAAGAATACGTGGTTCAGGCTGCATGGCTTTTGCATCCAATCAGTTTCAGGTCTGCTCCCGATTTGCCTCAGATTTGCCCGATTTGCATGTACTTCCAGAGAAAGCTGCAGACTGAACTCTGTAACCCACATGAACACATAGATGCAAACTAGCCCTTTGAATAACGTGAAAAAGACTTCCCTTTGTTCTGTCCAGTTTGGTTAGCAAATGGAAAATGCTCTTAAATGCATTATCTTGCACATAGATCCACATAACATGATTTAGATTGAGAGCACATTGTTCTATCCGCAATAGCTTAGGGAAGAGATTTAAAAGCCCCACTCTGTCTTCCCTCTCTAGCACTGTCTAGCGAGGTGCATGAGAAATCCAGCTTCCTATCTGCACTTAAATAGGTATTCAAAATACCTACTTCTATTAAGCTCAGTATTTAGAGTGGAAGTGAAGTCTATTCTTTGAAGAAGAACTCCATGATGTAAAAAAATTAACTCTTGCAGTGGGGCTTTGGTTGTTTTGGGATGACCTTAAAACAGAACTCCGGTTATATATTTCTGTACTTCCACTAGACCCCCTCCTGGAATCCACTGAATACTTTTTTAAAGAAAAAGACCCCATATATACCCTTTTCATTTTAGCATCCTAGCCAACCCAGTGGTGTAATGGGTCCTTTCTCTTCTTTCTTGGTGGCAGTGGGGGCCATCCTTCCTTCTGGACTGAGTAGCATTAACATAATGATGTGTGAGTAACACTCAGTCCATAAATATTGTGAGCCCAAGCTGTGGGAAAGTGCACCCACAGGGGGTGTGTCAATGACAGGCTGGGGTCATAGGAAATGGATAGACTAAAGCTGGCTGTCATTAAACCCAAAGAGGACCGGCAGCAATGGGTGGAGGAAAAAGCTGGGGACAGTGCTGGAGCATTGAGAAGGTAAAGAATAGCACACTGTTTTTTAAATACAGGTGGGGGGGGGCAGGGGGGGGAATTAAAAAATGTAAGTTCCCGTTCAAATAAGTTCCATTGTCTTCTGTGATTTGCTTTCAGTAGTAAATGATAGAAAGTCACCAAAATTACTAAGATGCATTTCTAAAATGTATTACAAATACATAATGTCACATAAGGTTGAAATGCCAAGGTCTCGGGACCTTGCAAGGCCTCCTTCCTCACGGGGACTCAGTGACGATCTGTCCCCCTTAGCAACTAGACTCTCCCACTCCCAATGGCATAACTATGGCATTACAATCCCACCAAAATTCACGTGCCAAAACATAGACATATGACTTGAACTCCCTTGCCCATAAAAATAAAATGCCAGCCAATCTAATGTATATCACCTTAAGGATACCAACTAGATGTACAGTATGCTGCAGAGTAAACAAGGATCTCACAATTGCTTGCCAACAGAAACACATCTTTGGAGTGCTGGTGACTTTCTTTACTACTGGTTCTGCGCGGCGCCATTAGTTGTAGTCACAACAAGCACCAATCCTACTTGACTCCATACGATCAAGCACTGTCAGGACTGAGCAGCAGCACCACACAAGTTTTACTTTATTCTCAATAGTCATTTCCATATTCAGCATTAGCAATCACAGATTTCAGACTAAGACCACACATGCAGTTTTATGGAACCATAGTGTGTGACTTCCCTATGTAATTACAATTCTATGAAAATATGACCTTTGCTTTTATTTTGGCTGTAGATTTAATTTTTAAATTGGGTTGTGTACTGACTTTATTTGCATTTGTACACATAATGACACCTATTTCTTTTTTTAAAGGATTTTGAGGATCGGATTATGGTGCTCTTTTCTGAAGATCTAGTCTTCCTCTCTTTTGATCCTGACAGAACAACTGTTATGCACCATGTAAGTTATTTTTGGAGTATTCAGAATGTTTATCTCTAATACCAGTCCTTAATATAATGCTCACAAGGTAATATGGGTGTGTTTGTAGGCCCTGTGTTCCATCCAATGTCTCAGTAACTTCTGCATGGATGGAACTCGACCAACTGTGAGTTTGTTTATTAATACATAAAAAGAATACAACTGACGGGCCCCTACATAGCAAGCAAGCTGAACTCAGGGTTAAAATGGGTGGTATTAAATAGTATAATGAGCAATATCATGCAGAATCTTCCAGGTCACCGATATGGTTTACTATATATAGGCTTTTACACTTTTTAGATAGTGCCAAGGTTATCTACCCTTGGTATAATCTTATGTATGTACAATGACCACGCCACAGTATCTTTGAATCCCCCCCCCCCCCCCCCCGCCCGCGGGAAAGTTTCGAAAAA